CATGTTCCAATGGCTCAATGGCCTTCTCGCACGACGGCTCGACCGTGCCCGTAATCGACAAACGCTCTACGTCAGCAGTACCGCGCAACAAGCTGGTCAAGCGCGCCTCATCAGTGCGCGGGCCCCGTGAAGCGCCTGTCTCGGGCTCTGCGACTCTCCGACCGTCCTTCCGTCGTCCAGCCACCAGCCACCAGCGCAACGCGACACTGCAAAACTACGGCGCGCGCCTATCCATGACGGCCGAACACACTTCGACAGACGAACAACAGACCTCAGCGAGCACTGACAGTGAGGTCGAATACACACAGTTTTTCACAGCGAGGATCACCAAGGAACGGACACTGGCGAGGCGGCGAGGTTCAGTGGCATATGCAAATGGGTTCAAGAGGATATTTCCAGATGAGAAGCACAAGCCCATGCTCGTGCTCGCAAGATCGGTCGTAGCAGGCGTAGAGGATATGGACGACTCGACAAGCGACGATGCCGAAAGCGTCTTCTTCGTGAGTCGACCAGAGACGCCACTTAGCATGGCGGCCACGTTTGCTACCAAAGTAACAAACCAAACTCGCGGTCGGCCCTCCACATCACAACCCGAGAATGCCCCCAGACCCAAACGCTCCTTCTCCATCACCTCCTTCCTCTCATCTAGGAAGGAGCGAACTGTCGCAGTGCCCGGACCCAAACTTTCCCGTCGTGCAACCCAGCGGGTCAACTCAGCACCGATTCTGCCTACTATGAGCAGACGACCACACAGCACCTCGTATGGAGAAAGTCGACGAGATGTGACAGACCCAACACCAGCAAGACGCGACATCGCCACGTCCGCCGGGCCCACTGACACAGCACCTGCACGCAATGTTTCTCGGAGCAGGCCTGTCTCGTCGCCCTTGTTCCCTACCTTCCCCTCGACTGATCCCGTTGCTGGCGCGGCCTTGGCGTCAATGCCCCAGCAGCCCGATGTTTTGGCCTCAGCCGCACCGGGCGCCAATCAAGCGCCACCATCCCCTACTCTAGCGCAATCGGGAGTTCGGGCCTCGCGTCATTCCATGGCCCCCTCAGAACAGGCCTCGACATTGGTCGGCTCGTCTGATAATGAACTTCGCGCCTTAGGGTCCGGCGACGAGGACGACGCTGACGTCCAGAGCGAGACCGTCTTTGATTCGCTGCGCACGGGTGCGACCAGAGGCTCAACCGTCGGCGCGCGTGGGCCTCGCATTGAGACTATATTCGACGAGTCGCCCCCCTCCAAGGTCAAGATTACAGCCCTACGAGATCTACTGCCGCCCGGATCGTTTGGAGAACCAATGGTCAATGGTGTCACCGGCCACCAGAGCATCGCCGAGGAAGAGGAGAGCATATCGACTCCCGTGCGGACAGTGCGCCCCCAACGCTCCTTGCAGGACTCGCCCAGTGTCACTCGAACACACAGTGCGCCGCTCTTCCCCAAGGCGATACCGTCGTCTTCCCCGAGCATGCCCAAGCCGCTTTCGCTTGGCACGCTGGAATGGGACTCGCGCGCAGGAGACGACGACGACAGTAGTAGGTGGTCACTAGAAGAGGCAGATGATGAGGATCCCTGGGTTGATCATCCAACAGTCAACCACAAGGCCAACCCTGTGGCTCTTTTGCGACAGCACACGCATCTGCTCGCACCAGGCTTCACTACCAACCCAACTACGCCACAACATTCCACATCAGAGTTTGGTGACAAGGACGCACGCAGCAGCATCTTCGATTGGTCTGAACAGCAAATTGCAGACAAGAATTCAGGAGACCACACACCGCCGCGTCCCCGTACAGTGCACGGAAAGAAGGATGCAGACCGCAGAGGCAGTCGATCTGTTGGTCGGCGAGTACCTAGCGGGTTGCACGCTCGCAGCCAGAGTGTGCCCGTGGTTCCGGATCTGACTGGCAAACGTAACACAGTGGTTACAAACAAGTTTGGCACCTGGGGTGTGGGAAGCAAGGGTGTCACCGAAGACTGGAACGACGACTTTGACTTTTCCGAACTCACTGAGGAGCCCGTTGCTGAGGACGGAAGCTCTCCTGGACTGGACAGTAGCTCAGCAATGATCGTGCCGAAGAGCATACAAGAGCAACAGAACAATGTTCTTGCAAACATCAGTCTCTTGCGCGAATGGGGTCTGTTAATCGAAGAACTAAAAGAGCAAAGAGTACGCGCTGTTGCGCTTGGTATGATACAAGGCCCACCCTCCGGCATGTGGCTTGAAGTGGATGCAATGATTGAGCTCGCAGATCAGGAGGCCGATCATCAGGATGTTGCTCACGACTCACCACCATCATCGCCCGATTTTGACGAAGACGCCTTTGAAGACCCATCTGCAAGCCCTAGCCATGGAAGAGGAAGGCGCAAATCATCTTCTCCTCATGAGGATAGCACCAAGAACCCGCCCCAATCGGCGCGCCCACTGCGGAAGTCTATCCTTCCTTCGAGCAATGGAATCTTTACCCCGCAGTCTTCACCGATACCAGCTAAATCGGAGGCTGACGCCACCCCCGCTACCCAGGAGTCAAAGACCATCGTTACGAGACCCCGCAAAGACTCAGAAGCCAAAGCGCGCTCCGTTATTGAAGCGCTGCAAAAGAGGAGGAGCGCGTATGAACCGTTCCTAGACGCACCCCCCATACCTTCGACCCCTTCGAAGAAAGTCCCTTTCGATACCTCGACACTGCGACGTATCGTGCCATATGTCAGCACGTTGACGCGCAAGGTCAAAGACACAATCAGGGATGCAGAGGGCTTATACTCCAGCCCTCTTACGAGCCCCCTACACGAGGAGCCACCATTTGGCACGATCCATCAACAAGAGGCGGATCTTGCGGCTCAGATGAAGCTCATGACAGTAATGTAGATTCGCAGGATAAGACGACGCGACTTACGAGCATTTTAAAAGAAGCATACGACTCGCTTCGTGCTGGTCACACGCATCTGGGCAAAAGTTTGTGGGAAGAAACAAAAGTTTCTTCTAGATATTTCACTTTGGATCAGAGCGTTCGAGCGAGGATCAAGCCTTCGCGGCCTGATCAACTATTTCCCTGTATTAATTACGTAGCCGTCGATTATCACGTCAGGCCAAGTACTGCATTTGGAGCGACATGGCATTTGCGATTTCCTTTTGCATAAGTTGCAGCATCTTCCGGCCAGGATACACATGGAAAAGAGGAGGCATGCGACATGAAGCGCGTGTGTTTTGTCTAATGGAAGATTATGGCGCATTCAGGATTGGGTTTCCTTTGTGGAGGAGTTGAGCATATAATACTCTCCTGGCGGGATGGGCATACCGCGCAGTTCGCGAGCCGCTTTTCTACACGTTCCAGTCATGTACAAAAGCGGGTTGAGGGTTTTCTCTTTGTTTCTTTGTTCCTTTGTCTTTCTTGATCTACGATATCTTGAATCACAACGAAGGTCCTCTCAAAAATCATAGCATTGATACCTGACGGCCACAGTCACTGTCTCTTGAGAGACGAATCCACAGAATTTGGAACATATCTTACACAATGGCGCCACTGACTTGACCGTGATGTCTACAATTTTAGCTCTCGGAACCGAGACAACGGTATCATGCTTAGACTGTCTAGGCCATTGTGTAGTCCTTAACAACTACCAGTACCATACTAGGTAGCTCGTATACACCGCCTCTTGCTTTTACAAGACTGTTACGCCGGAGTTCATCCCTCTATCTAAACTGTTGGTTGAAGTTGTCTTCCTGAAACTACCATAGCTTCCGAGCCGTTGTTGCGAGGCCAACTACTGCAGGCCCATAGCCGAATCACACGCCACTAATGCATTCCCACGCATCGCCTTCTGATGAGCCAGTTATCAAGGCAACGCCGAACGAGGCGCAGTTTTACGCACTGATGATCGCCTGCGCATCTTGTTCATGCCGGACAGCCAGATCTCCGTACAGCAGCGTACCATACTCGCATTCGCTTCTGCCCGAGCGGGTCAGCGAGCAGCGAAGGCACGCGGGACGAATATTTCCTGCAGAAGATCACCGGACCATACAACGGACATAGCAGACGACTGTGAGATTTGCTCTTTCCACTTGTACCGTATTGGTAAACTGTATATATCAAGCTATACCAACATTCTTGGAACAGCACAACAAATAAAGCCCATGCCGCTTTGCAGTCATAAAGCCGAAGCTACCACTAACCGAGAGACGCCCTAATCTGCTGCACTGTCATCCACGATGCATATTCCTGTTTTCTAGACGATATAGCTTACCAGATTTTTGCTATACTGCTTGTCTCGTTCGTCTCGGAATGCTTAGCCGCCATTGTTGGTCCGACTCCCCGGCAAGCGCATACACGCATCCAAGGGTGAGAATGATATCCTCGGCCGGCTCGGTGGTATCGGTCGTACGGTAAACAGAGCTTCCATAACCCTACTCCACAATTGCATATCCACATCAAAACGGTCGCGCGACCTGCCTTGTGGAAACATACGATTGATGCACCAAGACCAAGGCCAGTATGAACTGGCGAGACTACAGTACTCGCCAATTACATCTGCATGTACTTGAGACTGCGATGGTTTGACAATGGGCAAATCGCAGAACCCCGCGCTTTCATTCATCCGAGGTCGATGACGATTACCTGTCTTGGAAGGCGTAGGCCAAGCAACACCAGGGAACGACACCAACAGAGAGGCGAATGACACCTGTACTACCTACTAGAAGAGGGTGGTGACCACATGTGCAGCGCTTTGGAGTCCTTCTCGCTATTCCTTCTCACAAGCGGTCGGATACCCTTGTTTGTGATCAAAACAACAAACTTCCTCCAATCTCCCCAACGTAAACACCGAGAAAAAGTCCTTGTTGGCTCGACTACACCCGTACCTTGCATATCGCGCCCCAACTTCCCCATTCTCGCTAAGCATCCACGCATCGGACTGATCAGCCAGAAGCGGTTTTGTTGCCCAAATCAATTCTTCATCCGAGACAGCCAACTTCTCACGTCATTCTGAGCACTTCAATATGGCGATGAAACACTTAATGGCCGTGGTGGGCCTGAGCGTATGCTCCGTTGTGCTGACGGCCAAAGCGCAATCCACCGCTGCAACAGCATGCGCAAGCCCCATTGCCCCACAGAATGGTGCTCCTTCGGTGGCGCCGGGTTTCCGTGTCGAGGTCGTGGCTAATGGGCTGAGGGACCCACGCGGCATTATTTTCGATCGGGAAGGTGGGCTGCTGGTTGTAGAACAAGAGCATGGGGTTAGTAGGCTGAGGCTGACGGGTGATGGAGCCTGCATTAGAGTTGATGGTGATGTGAAGAGTGTAGTTGAAGATGAATCTGTGAGTGTTCGCGTTGTGCGGGGCGAGACGTGATTAGAAATGGTTTTGACGACTGATTACAACAGTTGAATCATGGGATCGCATTCGCGCAGGACGGTAATACGCTCTACGCATCCTCCCACAGCAATGTCTACGCTTGGGACTACGATGCATCACAGGGTCAGACTACATCTGAATCCCGTGATGTTGTCGAGGGCATGGGAGACGATGAGGGTCATACTACACGTACCCTACTTATGTCCCAGGCCGTTCCTGACATGCTACTCATCTCCCGTGGTAGCGTAGGTAACATCGATCTCCAGACTCTGGATGTGACTACAGGAGTCTCAACCATTAAAGCCTTCAATGTGGGCAACATGACCGGCTCAGCATACGATCATGCGTCAAGCGGACTGTTGCTGGGTTGGGGTCTTAGAAACTCGGTAGGCGTAGCAGAGGAACCTGTCTCAGGTGGTATCTACTCTGTCGAGAACAGTGTCGACAACATCCCGCGAAGTGGACAAACCATCAATCAGAACAACCCAGGTGAGGAGCTTAACTTTCACGGTTACCTCAATGGAACCGGAAGTGATGTACAGGGTGGCAACTACGGCTATCCTTCATGCTTCACAGCATGGAATGTGTCCGAGATCCCAAACTTTGGCGGAATGACAGGCCAGCAGTTTGCCATTGGAGATCAGAACGCAACTGTGAACGACACATTTTGCGAGAATGATCGTATTGCTCCTAGGATCACGTTCGACGCTCACATGGCTCCCCTCGATATCAAGTTCAACCCCAATGGCACTGCCGCATGGATAACTATGCATGGTTCATGGAACCGTGAAGAGCCTATCGGCTACAAACTCAGCTTCGTCCAGTTTGACGGTAACGGCTCGCCAGTCGCACCTGCCAACAGCACCACAGCTGCCATTGATATTGTCTCCAACCCCGACCTCTCTGCTTGCCCCGGCTCTTGTTTCCGACCCGTTGGTCTTGCGTGGGATACCCAGGGTCGCTTATTCATGAGTTCTGATTCTACGGGCGAGATTTTCGTTGTTACGAGAGAGGATGGCAGTGGTGTTGCGGATGTGAACGAGGCGGCGGATGCTGGAAATGGTGCGAGCGCGAGCCCAACAGGATCTGGAAGTGCGCCTCAGCCGAGCGAGACTACTGGTACTGCGGTGAGAGGGGGCGTTGGGAGTAGAAGCTATTGGGCTGTTGGTGCAGCTGTAGTTGCCGCGCTGGTCTGAAGAAGACGATGAGGAAGAAGGGCACTACGATCATGTTTGTGTAGTCACAGTATACACAATGGAAGGCTGTAGTCGTGCGACATGCCCCTTGTACCACTCGCTATTGAATCCTGACATCAAGCAGAAATATAAATCCGGTTTTCGGACATCGTACTGACCTTCAAATTGGGTTCTGTATCGTTGGCTGTACCTTCCTAGGAAGGCATGTGGAAGACGAGCAATGGCGACCGCAACCGCTCTCAGCGTCTTCGACCTCGCATTCTCATTATGCAATCATCGGCCATGCTTCCTGTATCGGCACCGTCCTGCACCGTTCGTAGCTAACCTCAACGCAATACCTCGTTGGAATCTTACCCTCCGCGTGCAAACGCATCCTAGCCCAGCACCATCGTTTGCAATTCTTCATCACCGTCACTCTCATCACGTCGTTGGGGAAACCTCAGTTGTCCCGCCTGATCCGAACTGCCGATTATTGACGACATTCTTGGAGCTTTAAGTACGCACCTAACCCGACACGACCGCTGGATTTGGTGTGTGGTGCTGCTCAGTTGGGCATGGTAGGCAGAGTTCCACCTTCACGTCGTTTTGCGAGGGCTGTCTACGGTCAGCTGGATCCCTGACACCCTCACTTCTTATTCTACAATAGGAACGTACCTTTACTCGCGGCTAGTGCGGGTGACCTCTCCACCGTATATCGTCCTCACATACTGCCAGTCCTTCTTCTTCCACCAACACACCCCCTCTATTGCATTGGAACCTTGAATATTTCAATCTCTTGACCTCATACCAGTCATTCACATCAACATGTCTCGCCCTCTGGGCCCAACTACTGCTACGGCATTCGACTCGCTACCTATAGAAGTGTGTATCTCCGACATACATATGAATGTACAGACGCTGACAATCTGCGGTAGCTCAACAAGGCCATCGTTCATGAACTCGACAACGACAAGGATATTGCGAATTATCGCCTGATCTGCCACTCTACAAACGATGCTATCGATGCAGACAAACTTTCCTTCTGGCGCGCCAAGTATCGCGAGAAGTATGACTTCAAGGACGGTCTTAACAATCTGCAATTATGTCGCGTGTATCAGCGTCGCTCCAAGCAGCTTAGACGAGGGATCAAATACCCCTTCTTCCATGGCATTCGTCAAGGAGAGAGACAGGTCGTCAATATGCTCAAGGATATGATCAATGGTAAGTCAAACCATACCGTCAAGAACCAAACACGCATCTCGTATGCTAACACAAAGCAGAGTCATTCCAAGGAGCTACCACAGTTGACGAGCATGGCCGTCTCCGCTGCAAGAATCACGCTCACATATTGGACTTCATTCTCAGATCTCGCCTTCTTAACAACGACCGACGCGCCCCCGACACCCCACCCGGCACATTGATGCACATTGATGATGGGCTTGCCGCAGTGAAGCTTATGTGCTCTCAATTTGTCTTCAACATCGAAGGCTTGGAGCACAACATCTTTGCTTTTGAGGAGTCGCAGCACGCGGTTTACCTATCTGCATCTGCTGCTCCACTCTTCAATTACGATCACACAAAGTTGAACCTCGGTTGGATGCTACACGCCATGAGCTTCTTCCGTCATCATATGATGAACGAGAACGCCCAGACACTCTTCGACAGGATCGAAGGGCTAGACGCTACCCAGAAGCCCTCAGCATGGCGAGAACAGCTTAAGAATGGTGTTCAGCCGTTGAGTAAGTACTGGAAGGGCACATACTCATTTCTTGATAATTCTGAGGTCCAGAAGCTGCGACGACAAGGTCCAGGAAAGCAAGTGTATATCGACAAGAACGTTGACGAAGGCAAAATCCAGGTACGCTATTCTCGAAGTCTTCGGAGCCGTGCCTACATTCACTGATCACATGCAGTCTCTCGAGCTCGTTTTCGCAGAAGATAGTGTTCTGCCCGATGGTCGTCGGCTACCATGGCCCTCCGTTTTTGAAGACCGTCTCCGTTCGCTCACGAACGACACTGGCAAGCAAGGCATCACAACTCAAGGCCGGAGTCTAGCTAAGTCTACCGCATCCAGCATTCAGTTTGAGGGCAAGGGCGAGGACCTTGACGACGAATATATGGCTCTTGGATGGCTCAACAACCTGCCTCCTCAAGGCGGTATCCCTGGCTGGCAGCGCATCACCTTCATGAAGCACTTCACCCAGGACTACAACAACCTAAACGAGGACAATCTTTGGGCATATGAGGGCGTTGTTTTGCCAGGTGGCCGGATCATTCTGGGTCGATGGTGGTTTGCTTCGGAGCAGGGTCATCGTAACGTAAGTGGCCCCATGGTGGATTCCATCATCTGACGTATATTGACTATCCATAGCTAGAGTACAACGGACCTTTCATCTTGTGGGCGGTCGATGAACCCGACATGGAGGATAATGACAGTGATAACTGTGGCGACGAAGGTCTCTGAAACATATGACTGCGGCAACGAGGGGTTTTGGAGTCCCATCTCAAATCTCATGTCTGCTTTTTACATTTTTTTGATCATCTATTTTACCTTTCCTAACATACTCTGGCGTTTAAAGCATGGCGATGTACTCATGAAAACTTAGTCTATCTTGAGGCATGGACGCCTGGGGTTGCCTGTGCTTTGTTAGTTTGGCATCACATATCATATAGTCACCTCGTCATGGTATTCATAGAATTGGACACTGTGCCCATGTCTAATTCCGAAGTTTATCCCAAAAAATTTTATGCTCGATCCTATCGTCCTGCAGATCCGCAAGGTTCGGTATCATGAAAAGTGAACGACGTACCAACTACCATGGCAGTTACTCGCCATGGCTTTGAACGGGATCGACGTTGGACGCTATGCTGAAGTATATGTCTATTCAACCACAATTTTTGGCAACAGTACATCAAAGGCTTCAGAACAAGAAGATGAGAAACTTGATGTAAAAAGACCATTTTGCATTTCATATCTATCCTGAGTTCATAAGTCATGTCGTGAATCATTCATTTCCGAGCCAGAAGACCCGACGTCGCATTACCCCGATGTGCTCTTCTTTTCTCCCCCAAGACCAAGAAGATGCCATCTATCCATCCATTCGCTACCATGATCATCGTTCGTCAAAAGACCAAAGTGTGTAAAAGAATGGAGTTGCTAAAGAGAAGAACAATGACATTCGCTTCCTCCAAGCCTCGCGAAAAAAAAAAGTTATTTAACAATACTTTCTAGACAACCGCGACAGTACAATTAACCAGAAGACCGTTTCGAAAAGGTGTAAGGAAGCAGGGATGACGGTCGGGTAAGTATCTAGTACCTCGCACCCATGGGTGGCGGTGGCACAGAGCTACCGTAAGGATTCGCATCCGCGTAGGACGTAGGATAAGGCTGGTTGGCAGCTACAGGATATGCGTACGGATTAGCGGCTGCTCCATTCATATTTGCTCCCAGAGCATTTAGACGGGCTTCTTTCTCGCGTCGTTCACGCTGCTTTCTCCTCTTGCGGCGGCGCGTCTCAAGTTCCTTGACGCTGTGGCGTTGCTCGTTCATCTCTTTCCACTCGGAGTAGGCTGACTTGATACCAAGGGCAGCGATACCCACGGCAGCAGCATCTTGCAGCATGTTCTTGGACTTGCGTTTGCGCGCTTCTTCGGGTGACATTTCGCCCTCGCCGACGAGCTTGCGACGGTTCTCCGAGGCAACCATGGAAGAATAGACTCCGTGCGCCGCATGAATGGTGGCCACAGTGGCTAGACCCGCAGTAAGGAGTTCCTTACCTCGTAGCTTCTTGCGCTTCTCCTCCATGTCGGTGGACGATTCGGAATCGCTGCTAGCGTCCCATCGACCCCGATCGGCTCCTCCACCCTGTGCTGTCAAAGCACCGGCGCCTGCCCCACCGGCGGCGGCTAGTCTGCGATCTGGGTTAGTCCTGGAAGGGGCTTCGGAATACTGGTCGTCCATACCGCGGCCTCGGCTGTACGAGCGGCGGTTGCCCCTACGTGAGGGCACATAGCTGTCGGCGCTGGAAGAGCGGGATCGCTCGCGTCGGGAACGAGACTTGGATCGCACACGGTCGTATAGAGCCTTGCCTGCTGCGAGCACAGCACCAGTACCAGCTACCTTGGCGAGACCGTTGTTTCCTCCCTCGCTGGAATGGGAGCGCGAGCGGCCGCGAGAGCGCGAACGTCCGAAGATGGACCTGGACCTGGACCTGGCACGAGAGCGGGAGCGAGACCTGGAGTCGTCACGACCACGAGGAGCACGGGAGCGGGAGCGAGAGCCGTTGGCTAGACGAGAAGCGACAAGACCACCCAGAGCGGACTCGGCGACGTGTCTCTTCTCGTGCTTGCCAGGGTCTCTGTCGATGAGACCGTCGATACCAGCAGCACCGAGAGCAGCAGTTGCGACACGCTGGCCCTTGGCGCCAGTCCATGGACCAGCTTCCTTACGGCTGCGGAAGGCTTCGACAGCACCGGCGACGATGGCGGCTTTGGCGGCTTGCTCCCACTTCTCAGACTTGCGTCCTCCTCGGCTGCGGCTGCGAGAACGCGAGCTGTAGCGGCTGCTTCGGCGGTCGCGGTCGTCATAGTATCCGTATCGGTCGCTGTCATAGCCACGGTCGTCTCGACGAGGACGGGAGCGTGATCGGTCGCGGCCGCCTCCAGTGACTGCGCCGATGATGCCGCCTAGGCCTGCAGACTCGCCAAAGTCCTTGACCTTGTCGACGATGGACTTGCGGCGCTGCATGTTGGGGCGCTCAGAGTACTCGGAACGGTCATCGTAGTCGCGGTCACGTCGACGAGGGCGATCATAGTAGTCGTCGTCGTAGCCACGGTTCACTGAGCGGGTGCGACGGGGCGGCGCATACTCCTCGCGGTACTTGGTTTGCCTATACTCGGCACCGGGAGGGAAGTCGCGGGGGATTTCCTCGATGCTGTCCTCGCGCGCTGCGGGGCGGTAGACGAGATCTCGTGCCCCGCCTCCGCGACCGCCGCGCTCAATGTACGTCGTCTCGGTGACGTACTCGGGCTCCCGCGTACGGTGCCGTGGTGCGTAGCTGTACTCAGACATGGTGATGGTGCTCTATACCCGCCGTGGGCGATGTTGGCTCTCCAGGGTCCAGCAGCAGGAAGCGTCGTGTCCGGGTCCGGTGTTCTGCGCAAGGCTTGGTTAGCGGGCGCACGAAGGCGACGAGCAGGGCGGCGCCGTGGGCATACCAAATAGTCTCTTTGGTCAGATAGACTTTACTTGGCTAGTAAGCGCAAGTTTGATAGTTGGAGGGCTGGCGCAACGAAAAACAAGGTGCCTGCGAAGTAACGGGACAAGGTGGGTAGGGGAATGGGGTGTCGAGTGTCGCAAGGCACCGGCAGGCAGTGGTATTTAACAGGATGATCGACTCGGAAGGTCCAGGGCTGATGACTGTCCGTTTGGCTTGGGTCCCAAGGATCTATCTCGGTGCAGGTGGGGTGGCGTAGATGTTACCGTTTGCTTGAGGCTGGGGTGGGCGGCAGTCTTGAGAGCGCACAGCGGCAACAGCGTGCCTATGATGTCACTTGTTGGGTTGCCCACAGCCAAGGCCAAACTTTCTTCTACCAGCTGCTGCGCCCAACGAGACGACAGCCTCAAACGGGGTTTAGGTCAACTGATTTGCGCAGCTTTTCTGACCGGCTTCTCTCACCGACGGACGACTTGGGTGCTTTTCGCTGCGAACATGTTGCTCGCCATAGCCCTTCTCCGGCTGCCTCCGAATCTTGACCGGTGCCTCACTTTCGTCCATCTTACATTGCGACGACGGCTTTCTGACAGCTGTCGCATCGTCTCCCCATTCGCCTCATAGCTGCATCTCCCACTCCACATGTCTCGCTGCTTCTAAGCCATGATTCCAAGTTTCTGTCCTGCACCCTGTCCCCTCGGCAGCATTCAGGGCTTGATGACGAAGCCCGGTGCCATTGTGTGTAGGGGTGCTATGTACAGAACGCCACGTGAGTCATCAGCTATTGGCCGATACCCGTGGTAGGTACATGGAACTCCAGCGAACATGCGAGGATACACCTGCCAGTCTGTGGCCTGACACTTTGACGTTGGCCCAAACCCTGGAAGGACCGGGTAGTACCTGACAATCTTCAAAAAGATGCCCAACTACATGTTTTTCCTTCCTTGTTTGTTTGCTTCGTGTTTTATTGCCGAGTCGATGACGATATGCCTTCAAGGCGTGAACCTGTGTTTGGTCGCTAGAAATTGTGGCGCATGCCAATACGAGTGTTTTGGGCATGGTAGCTGCATTGCTTCATCTCAGCAGCTACAACAGCCTCTCTATCTTTTTGCAATTTTTAAATTATGGACCACGTACTAGACTAGTTCATACATGTTTCGGATTTTCCATGTCAAGTTGGTCACCGGATCTGAATCACCACTGTGGTCCCCTTTGATGATATCTCTGTGAACAAGGCAACCAAGACTGGACAAAGCAAAGACATGATACCATATAGCCTGGCGACATCTTCCAAGAACGAGCTGTAGGCATGAAGACACTCCCCAACTGGGTCGAACCGGAAGTTCCTTAGAGTACTTTGGGAGGAACAATTTCTGTCACAAGTAGATCCTACCTTGACTAGCCCAACAGCGATGTCATCACACGCATTGCAAAATATTGATCATTCTTGCTCCATCCCGATGCATATGGTACAAGCATATATACACAGCGCAAGATCAACCTCAAACCTTGATCGCATACCGCCTAGGCTTATCGCTTTCCACGGCCTTCCCTGTCCGTTCCTTCGCCCACAACTTTAGTCTTGACATACGCTGTAGATTTGCCTCTTCCTGCTCTCTGAGCTTTTCTGCTTCCAACTCTTCTGCTGTGAGCTCTACAGACATTGCCTTCTTCTTCTGTATCTCGGGATCCGGCCGCGAGACTTTCTTGTCGAGCAACTTCTTGACCTGCTCTCGTAGCGTCCTGGCTGCCTCTCTTGCTTCGGCCATGTCTCCAGCTCCATTCTGGCTGGCCGCCTGCTTGATCTCTTCTCTCCTCTCTCGTTGGCCCCATGGCTCTAGGTCGGGAACCTCGGGCCAGACGAATGGCTGCTCCAACTCTACCGTCATGTACTTCTTCGAGTCCTCACGAAACCAATGCCGTGGCTGTTCGCGCGTGTCGCGTACAGGCATTTGCTTTACGTACGATCTGATGTTGAAGCATTTGACGTTGTAGGCGTGGTAGAGGTAATCGCGAAGGTCGTACTTTGAGAAGTCGAGCGGGACGAGGAAGCGGGCATGATACGGAGAGAGGTTTGGTGTACGAAGGAGTGCGACTGTGAATTTGGGACTGAATTGTGTTAGTCCTGAGCGCAAACGATGTGGCGTAGTGGCCTACAGGTATATCTTCTTGCTCCCAAAGGCTATCAGTTTTTTTGTGATGGGTACGGCGTTCATGGCGATGGGTTGCGATAAAGTCCAGCAAATATGAT